TAAAGAATGAGATCATATCTTTTGTGGGGACAGGGATGGAGCTAGAGGTTATAATGCTTGGCAAACTAACATAGACACAGAAAACCAAATATTGCATGTTCTCACTTATAAGAGGGAGATAAACAATGAGAACACATGAACACAAAGAAGGAAACAACAGACACTGGGGTCTACTTGAGGGAGGAGGGTGGGAAGAAGAAGAGAAACAGAAAAGGTAACTACTGGGTACTGGGCTTAATACCTGGGTGATGAAATAATCTGTACAACAAATCCCTGTGACACGAATTTACGTAACAAACCTTCACATGTACCTTTAAACCTAAAATAAAAGTTTAATTTATTTTTAATTTTAAAGAGTAAAATTGTCCATATTCTTTTTAAATTTAGAATACTTTTCATCTTTCATGTTTATTCCAGCTATTAATGTCTTCACATGATAAAATGAAAAGGACACATTTTTAAGACTACAAACAAACTAACCACTGTGGTCTTCTTTTTCTGCAGGGAGTTAGAAATGTCAATATTTTTATATAAATAATGACATTTGCAATGACTGTCAAATTGATCATATCACATAATTTTGGAAGAAAGAATACTTTTATAAAATATTTTTGAAATATATGAGAATTCAGAGTGAGGATATCCAATAAAAAGTTAGATTTTAGTGAGTTAGATTTGTTGAGGACTCCAGATCCCCTAGCCTTAGTGCCAGGTAAGAAATCAATTCTCCAAATTAAAGTGCTAACATATTTCAATATTCATTAGCAAGTAGGGCCAACCTGTTTATATAATCAGTTATATAAATTTGATGAAGTCTCAACTTTTATTTTTTGAGTTATTTGGTTGGCAGCACTTTCTTGAAAAAATAAAATTCAAAACCAATGCAAATATTCTCTTATTATCAGATTAGGCTAAACATCCATGCAGTTGATAATCCTTGAATTAGCAGTTAAGCCCCAAATGTTTTATCATTTAAGTCAAGAACAACATTATTAAATGGATGACCTAGATATTTACCTACCGGGTAACAATGTGGCTTGGTTTATTTTTGTTGTTGTTGTTGTTTCAGTATCTAATACCACTTGGTAATTGTCTCAGATTTTTAACTTTTTATTTATTTATAATCAGTAATATATTAACATAAATAATGATTAGGAAATTTCTATTTTACTTTTGTCATGGTTTCATGTAGTGAAGAAAAAGTAGTATGCACAGTGAGCAGAGTTTTTACTTTATTCAATTGTTAAATCTGAAAGAAGACACAATGCTTAGAATTGTTCTTAAAATTTCTAAACAAAATAGAATTATCACTTTTTTTTTTGAGACAACATGTGGTGCTATGGTTCAGGCTGGATTGCAGTGGCACAATCTCGGTTCACTGCAACCTCTGCCTCCCAGGCTCAAACATTCCTCCTACCTCAGCCTCCCAAGTAGCTAGGACTAGAAGCACACACCCCCATACCTAGCTAAAAACTATCGTTTTTCTTGCAAAGAGAATATGCAGACAGATCACTTGAGAAACAAATTACACTTACATACAAGTGATAGGTCAGCCTCCTCATTCAAGTCTGGGTGGAGGTGGAGGGTCATTTGTTGTTCAAACCTAGCCGGTAGTGCGATGGCCCATTCCATAGCGGCAAGATGCAGCAATTCTCATCAAGAGTAAAATTGTCTATATTCTTTTTTAATTTAGAAGACTTTTCATCTTTTGTGTTTATTCCAGCTATTAATATAGCTGCCAACAGCAGGTGGAGTTAGTGGGAAATTTGAGAAGTACTGGCTAGGTGCACGTGAAGTATGGGCGTGAAATTTGTACTGCCACAAAGCCACAGATAAAGGATAATCTCAATGCTTTTCCTACAGTGATTTGGCCATGTCTTGTATTGTTTAAATCTACAACTATTTTTTTTATTATTCAGTAACATTTTTCTTCTTTAAATTTTGTATATAGAAGAAAAGGAAAATAAGCCAAAAATAAAAGTTGATTTTTAACGGAAAAAAAAAAAAGTTGGCTTCTGAATTTCTACCACTAAATCCAGTTGATGATGACTGCATGAACATGTACAACACTTTAATGATATTTATTATTCAAATGAGAGTAGGTGATATCATCGACCACATGAAAAGTAAAAGATATAGTTTTACTGAAGATATATCAGTATCTACTTCACAAGACAGAAAAATGTTTAAGAAGATCAAGTCCTAAGATGATTACTATTAACAGTTGCAAAAAGTATGTCAATACATCACCCTCATACAGACATTTTCATTTAGGTCAAATAACTGTTTTAAGTCATTTTCACTCATGTTAAATTATAGCTTTTCTTGTGCATGTACAGAAAATAATTGAACCAATAATGATGTGCCCCTCCAGTAGCAGGAAAAACAAATTACTAAGGATTAAATGAATTCGGTTTTATATTAGAACTGTCAAACGCTTCAAAAAGAAAATAAATTAATTCCAACAATGTTTGGATTTCTTCACCTAGCCCCCCACAAAACAAACAAGTAAAGCTATAAAAAGTTCATAATGTTCTGTTTGATAAAGTTAATGTAAAGTTACTTTAAGTTAAACATTGAAGATATGATTATTTGTTGTATCCATAATGATAAAAAGTACACATTTTGTTAAGGACATCATGGTAAAGAAAATAAGAGTCCTGTGGAGAAGACGCACAGTTTTAGTTGTGGTGAATACATAACTCACTTTGTATCCGAGTAAGTTTCAATATTCTATCAATAAAAGCAGAAGATGTAATTTGAAAAATTTTAAAACACTATGTATATACCCTAAATTGTACTGGCAATCAATACTTTTCCTTACCTCATCAATCACCATGTTCACATTTTTCTGCTGTATTATCTTTGAGCTCTTGTTTCATTTAAGTAATAATACGTATTGTTTTATATAGAAAAGCATATGAAAGGAATTTTCTTATGTTTGTCAATATTTTTTACACATCGTATGCCACTTCTATATTCTATATTGCTACTTTACTCAAGAACATTGCCATGAATTCACTCTGATTGGTTTTATTCTCCTTCAGTCCAACCTCACCAAAATGGGACTCTGGTTTACATTATTAGTGAGATGTCACAAGAGTCTGCAATTTCACCATTCTTGTTCATAATGTTTGGTATTATTGAAGGCAGCACTTTATATCTATCATCTTGGATCCTAAATCTGAAAAAACTAAGTTATATTCACTATAATAATTAAAATGTTAAGATATGTCATAGCACTCAGAATTCCTAACATTTTCTTCCTGAGGTGCCATCGAATATTTTTCTATTACTCTAGTATTTAATAGTTAAAATATTATTTAAATAAATTAGTTCACCTTCTTTGGAGCTCTTCTCCTAAACTCTAAACTTACTTGTATTTTCATTCTTTATTACTGACACTACTCATGAGGCTAAACAAATAAATCCAAGAGTGGATTATATCTATTTAGATGAATAGAAATTTTGTAGTATTTCTGTAGTACTAGAAATACTAAGTATTCCTTGGTTAAACTAGGAGTTGTATTTTTTTAATAAAAAGAAAAGAAAAAACAGAAAAGAATAACAAAACAAGATTCATTCAAGAGATCATATTCTACCAGATCTTTGTTCTGTAAGCCTTGGCCAGTTTTAAATCCTTTTAGAGTCTCCATTCCCCCATGCCTGTAAAGGTCTATACTATATAATATTTGTCTTTTTATAGGGATAAGTATTAAATGAAAATCTGTTACTTGATACCTCTTTCGCTTTCTTGTGTGGTATACACTCACCTATGACCACAGGCATAGCAATGCAAACCATTTTATGTTGGCTTCAACCACCCAACCACCTTTATGTGGACAACATCTGCCCTCAATCATATGCAACACCACTTTTACTGTACCTGGGCTTCTCCCAGGTCACAACTAGGAAAACAGAAGGAGCCCACTGTGATTCTTCCCTTGCATAATTATAAGGTTCCTGAAAATTACACATCTTGGATGTTGTTCAGCCAATGGGAGAAAGAAGTGGATGGATAAATGTTTTTCCACGTTGATCTGATCCTGTGGTGGACAATTCCAAGTCATTCTACATGCTCCTAAAAGGTCCTTACAAGATTTAGCCAAGTTGCTCTTCATAAAATAAACTCAAAAATGCACCCTTTCTTTAGATTTTCCTCTTTGATTCCTTCATCTTCTATAGTGTCTCCTACTTGCTTCCTGGGATCTTGTGCCACATAAACTGTTTGCACCCAAATCTTTGACATTAGCTCTGTTCTGGGGAGAGGAGGATCCACGTAAGACTAATGGATATAAATGCGTGTTCAACATGGCTCAGGTGTGTTGCTGTTAGCTTGATTGGGGTTGAGCCTTGAGGAAGCATCAGTAGGTTACCCAAGCCTCCTGGACCCAATCATTCCCACTTAAGATCACTGGTGAACGATCCTTACTCTCCTTACCAGTGGGAGGTAGGAACCTTGGCACTTATGCCTGCTAACAAAGAGCAAAGTGTCTGTCCTAGCAGTTGTTTAAGCTTCACTTTTCTCTTGGTTGAAAATCCACATTCAGATACTAGACTTTAAGTAACCTTTAGTATAAGCATACAGTTTACCTTATAAATTACATCCTAGTCTTGTTGTCTGCATTTCTAGTTTATTCATCAAATCTGCTTTCCTATATCAGTAGAAATGCATGTCCTTCATTCTTAGACAACTCTCACTGCTGTTGAGACAAGTCTGCAGATGCAAACTATGGTCTTCCAGAAATGATTACTCTTAATAGACAACATACCTAATTTCAAGAGAAATGACCTCAAATCTGTCACATTATATGTGCCCCAAATCCAGTTACACAGTCATATTGATTTTTACTTAAATCTCCAAAATTCTTGAATGCAAAAATGTAAGCAAAATAATAATAATAAAATAATAACAATGTGAACAATATATTTGGGTGCCAAATTACGTAAATTTATTAGATTAAAATTTCCATTTTCAACAGTTTTTGGATGAAAATCAGATAGCATATATTCGATCAATGGTAAAGATATTAGAACTTAATATTAGGTTACTTATTAATTTCAGTCTGCCAGAAGTTGGTGATGCAAGAAGCTGGTGGAAGAAGAATAAAAGGATATTGGGAACTGGCAAGAATGAAAACAATGGCTGCATTCAGTAGAGACTTTGATCCCAATACTCAAAAGGATCTAGAAATTTAGCAGGTGAATTGATAGAAGCGAGATCCACAGATTGGTCTAAAACAAGAAGACTGCCAGGCTCTAGAAGCTAAGTAGTTTGGGTAGCAGAATCTGGATCCATAACTCAGGGAAGGAAAACCACAACCTCCATATTTCAGGAATCTGAAGCCACTGGATCCACTTCCCAGCGAGTAGCAGCTCCTAGATCCATAGCCCTGGGAGCGACAGCTGCTGGACCCAAAGCCTAGAGATCCGGTGCAAGTTGTCTGGCAGGGACTGCAGCGCATGGAGGTCCTGCGGCGGTAGCAGGATTTCCGGCAGCTGGTGGGCTCCCAGCAGGTCTTCTGACAGTTCCTGTAGAGAGAGGAGCCCAGCTGGCAGATGCTGGGAGAGCAGAGTGCAGTGCTGTAGGGGTTGCAGCCTGGGTAGTGCAGGTAGCCCCCAAAGGAGTGGGAAGAGAAGTTTCCAGAGCAGCAGTTGTAGGACATGCTGATGAGATGTGAGTTCAGTTGAGTGTACCCGGGAAGATTCTGAGTTTTAATGTTGCATCCTGGCCAAGGGCATTTATATCCTCTCAGCAATAGGTGTGGTGCCCAACAGAGTCATCCTTTATATATTTGTGGTCCCTCATTTACATATGTGTAACTCCAAAATCTTGTCTATAATTGCATTTGAATACTTTTCCATGTATTGTATTTATGGGTGCTATAATTTTGGTGTTATAGCACAAAGCCAATGAACTGCACTTATGTCAGAAATGCTATGACTGTTTTACGTTAATGTCTAGTTCATCATGACAAGGAAAGCTCTTCCTGTTTCTTTGGCACATGCTACCTGCCTCTTTTCCTGTGTACTCACATCTGGCTTTGCTAGTGGATGTTTTCCTCCTAAGAGTGGGGAAAGAGATAACATTAGTTTTTTTTCTGGTGCAATGGATTAGTTTCTACCTGGATGAGAATATTTGTGAAAATGATCTGTCTTGTCACCATTCATTGCTATACTCCAAAATTACTTTGTGGTTATTTTTTAGGGCAGTAAGAGAAAATTAATACATTAAGTACTACAGTTATAAAGTGTGTCTCATATCCAGTGAAGAAAGATCAAGAACAGGCAAACCAAAGAGATAGAAAGAAATGGCCAAAAACTGAAAGAAACCTTGCCATGTATTTAAAGACAAGATAACAAAAAGAAGTTTGACTGACACACAGTCACAGAGAAGATCAATTTGAGGTCCATCTCTAGTCAGCTAAACAGCTGAATGCTTATCTGCTGAAGTGACGAAACAAGTGAAAGAGAAACAAAAAGTTAGTTCAGGAATTTCAGAATTTTTTCCCTACTGCATTCAAGCTGGCATGTGTCTTGTCTCAATGTCTTCATGAGCAAAACTTTTCAAAATTAGCAAATCTTATGAACTTTGACATATTTATCATCTACTTTTATAATTAAGGGCTTCTACCCTCTTAGAATGTCTCTACCTTTCCATACTACTGGTTTTCAATGACTTTTTGCCACTTGTAGAACCAGGTACCATCCTACATTTTCCTATGAAAATGGGAAGTTTCTTTGTTCCCCAGTCCTCTTTTCCTCAGCATGGTATATGAATGTTCCTCTCTTATTTTCTGTCTCTCTCTTCCTCTGACTCTCTTTCCCTCTATTTTTCTTCTGTGCTTAAGTTTGATTTTATCTTTTGTTCTTTTCTTTTTTTTACTTGTCATATTTTATGTTTTGTTCATTTGTTTGTTTGCCTCTGCTGAATTATAGATTCCATATTGAAAAATAAAAATTGGACAGCTTTGTCATATTCTTTGAGGATAGCCACTCTGTAAGTTTATTCACAAAATATTCTATGTTGAAATACAAGTAGTTAAATTATATTCAGGACCAAAGAAAGTGTACTGTCATGGTTTTATTTTATAATAAAATATAATAAACTTACAACAATGTTAGAAATTTTCTCGATTAAAATGTATGGCAACATTGAAAAGTAACTTAATATAGGCCTTCCAGAAGGAAGAAGAATGAAGAAAGAAGCAAATACAGCCAATTCAAATATCTATTCCACGAGTTACTTTCTATTTTTCAATAGCAGTTGGTTTCTCCTTACCTTGTGCCTTAGAAAGTAGGTTTGGAAACTATTTCTTCCCCATTTTCTTTTGTTTCAAACGTAACTCTTTAATCTTGAATACCAAACTTACGAGTTAAATGGGGAGCATGAATTTATTCAGGCGAAACTGAGGGATTTAGTGAATTTGTCTTCAGTTAATCCAGGTTCTTTATTCAAAAATCCTTTTCTGAACCAGTTATTGTGAAAAGAGGTGTCCCTTCTCTCTGCCTCTAAATCTCTAAAACTTTGTTCACATTAATTTCATGAAAGTTTAAGAAGAACTTGTAAATGCCACGACTTTGGACTCACTTCATCTTGGAGATTGTATTATTTGTTTTGTCTAATATGGAGCCTCATCATTGTTGTTTCTTTTTTTAACTGAATTATTTATCAACAATTAAAAATTGAGATCTTTCACATAAAATATATGGCTCAGGGATATACATCAAAAGGCTTCTGATCTTTTGACAGATGATTCTTTTCACTGGGCTATGAATAATGACTTTGGATATTTGAGATATGTTTTCAACAGTCTCATCCATAGTTGAAAATTACAACTTTTGGCACCTACCTGCTTCTCTTTTCTAAAATACCAGTCAACTTGTCTCTAACATGCTGGAAAATCTTGTTTTCACTAACCGTCCAGGTTACAACCTCAATAAGCAAAAGCCAATACTTCTATACAAAGATTGAAAATAGAAAAAAGAGTATGAGCCATATGTAATGTAGATAAAAAGTGTACCTTGCTTATCATAGGTATCTAAGCAAAAGAGGAGAGAATGGGGCAGAAACAGTATTTGAAGAGAGTACAGTTGGGAATTTACCAATCTTGATAAAAGGCATCAACTCACATGTGAAATAATAGGAGAATGGTGTAGATCTAGTCTAACTAAGGTGGAGATGGCTGAAAAAATGGGTTTTAGCAGACATTACCTGGAGACAGTCTGAATATAAGCTCCAAAACTAAACTCAAAAGTTTTTTTTATTGTTTCTCTAAATCATTGAACAACTGAAATAATTTTTTTTTTACCCTGATTGGCATACTCGAGATAAAATATTCAGTTTAAATTTTTTACTATCCATCAAAAAATTGGTTTACTTTTTGTATTAGTCTATTCTCATACTGCTATAAACTACTACCACTTTATAAATTACCTGGTAATTTATAAAGAAAAGAGGTTTAATTGAGTCACAGTTCTGCAGGCTGTACAGGACGCATGGCTGGGGAGGCCTCAGGAAACTTACAATCATGGTGGAAAATGAAGGGGAAGCAGGCAGTCCTACAAGGCTGGAGCAGAAGGAAGAGAGTGAAGGGGGGAGTGCTATACATTTCTAAACAACCAGATCTCATGAGAACTCACTCACTAGCATGAGAACAGCAAAGGGGAAGTCCACACCCATGATCCAATCACCTCCCACCAGGCCTTCCCCAACATTGTGGATTACAATTTGACCTGAGATTTGGGCAGGGACACAAATCCAAACAGTATCACTTTTTTAAAAGTATAAACAAAATTTACAGACATTCTGCATTTTTTCTCTTTCCAGAGTCTCCCCTGGGAGAGGTTGGGAGAGTTGTAAGATTTGGACATAGGTCTGGCCCAAGTGAAGGAGAAAGAGAAAGAAGTGCTTGAGACCTAGGCAGGGGACAGTAGCTCTTTAAGGCCATTGAGGAAACCCTGAGTCAAAGCTGGCTGTCAAGTATCTTCCAGGAATCCCTATATCTCCACTGTGCTCAGTCTTTGCCTGGGAGCAGCCCAGAGAAAGCAAGCCTTCCCAAAAAATGCAGTGTTAACTTTTAGAACACAGCAGGTAGGGTCATTGGTTATTTAAGCCTCCTGTAATTTAAGATCCGAGATGTGAATTCTCCAGGCTGCCACACATGTGAATGAGAATCTGTTAGGACCACGGGCCTCATATTAGATGCATTGAATCTGAAATTCATTTATTTTTTTCTCGCATTTCAATGGTGTTTATTTGCCACTTTGATTCTCTTCACAAGGCCCCCGAGTTGGTTTTCATTTGTGATTGTCTCAGTTCCATCCCTTGCTGTCACCACGTCTCCAAATAATTGTCCAGGTTTCCTTCTGGTCATAGGCATCAATGTTATTCAATTTGTCTTGACTTATACTTTTTCTTCTACATTGGATGTGAGACACAGTGGGTAGTAGTACACAATAGATGAAGGAAACTTTTGTAGAATGAGAAAGGATGGTGGTAAGTAGGTTTAGTTTTTAGCAGGTTTCTCATTAAGGCCAAAGTTGTATCTCTAATCCATTGACAAAAAAAGACACGTAACTTTATCTCATTTCTCACTGTTTAGGGAAAACTATTGGCCCATAAGAGCCAATAACAAGACACATGAAAATTATGCTAGGAGGAAAAGGAGGTGCCTTCCTAGACATAATAAAATAAGCATTAATATGAAACAGTCATAGCATTTCTGACATAAGTGCAGTTCATTGACTTTGTGTTATAACACCAAAATTATAGCACCCATAAATACAATATGTGGAAAACTATTCAGATGCAATTACAGACAAGATTGCTGAGTTACACACATGTAAATGAGGGAGCACAAAAATGTGAAGGATGACTCTGTTGGGCACCACACCTATTGCTGAGAGAATATAAATGGCACTGTCCAGGATGCAACATTAAAACTCAGAATTTTCCCAGGGACACTCAGCTGAACTCACATCTCCCGTCAACATGTCCTACAACTGCTGCTCTGGAAGCTTCCCCGCCTGCTCCTGTGGGGGCTACCTGCGCTACCCAGGCTCTTCCTGTGGCTCTTCCTACCCCAGCAACCTGGTCTACAGCACTGATCTCTGTTCTCCCAGCACCTGCCAGCTGGGTTCCTCTCTCTATAGGGGCTGTCAGGAGACCTGCTGGAGGCGCAACAGCTGTCAGACATCCTGTGTGGAGTTCAGCCCCTGCCAGACATCCTGCTACTACCCCAAGACCCACATGCTCTGCAATTCTTGCCCGACTATGCACGTTGGATCTCGGAGTTTTGGATCCAATAGCTGCTGCTCCCCGAGCTGTGGATCCAGGAGCTGCTCCTCACTGGGTTGTGGATCCAATGGCTTCAGATATCTGAATTACAGAATCCATGTCTTCCCGTCCCAGAGTTATAGATCCAGATTCTGCCACCCATTTAGGAGGCGGTTCCATTCATCTTGTTATCAACCATTCTGTAGATCTGGTTTCTACTGTCTAATGTGGTGATTGCTCAAACCCATTTGAGAAATGCCTATCTTTAGTAAGGTCATCTATTAATTTCCTCCTTTGAGAAGTATTCTAATATTATTGATCACCAGGTCTACTTTACTTTCCAGCCTTCAAAAACTGGCTTGTATGTTAGTTCTCTCAAACTGCAGTTTGGACCAATGACTG